ATTAACACACAGTTGTTTTATTTGTTTATTTTTTAATTCAAAYGTCCCTAACAGTGAGAAAATGGTTTTAACGCACATGTTTGTATGTTTTGGCTCCCCTAAATATTAAGCATTTCGTATATGAACTATGTAAAGAGTAATAGAGTCCAAGTGACAGTTACGGTATTTAACAGATTAGCTCGGAGTTAGCAGATGTGTTTTAGAGTAGGAACTGTAGTTATTTCAGACATGCTTTTATATTTAAAAAAAAAGAAAAAAAGAGACCTCTTAAAACTGAGATCAAGGAAAGCTTCAGATAAATTTGCTTTTCTCTTTTTTTTTTCCTTTTCAAAAGACTCAAACTGTTTTTTCCCAGTGCATTGTTACCCGAATGCCTTTTTCCTTAGTCGCTTAAGAATGTTGTCTTCAATACTTGTATACGTGGTTGGGTTCACATCTGAACACTTCAAAGACCTTATTTCTTTCAAAGATGATGAGAGATTATTTCTGACTTCTATAGGAAATAAACTGAACATTGAATGGCAATGTGATTTTGATCTCTTGCAGCAATCCTGCCTTGCCCCCGTGCAGTTGACAGTGCAAGTGAATGAGCACATGTGCAGTAGAGCAATATATCAAAAGAGGGAGTTCTGGTGGCACTTTTTTTGTCCTTGCAAAAGGTTACTGGAACCACTGCTTTCTTCTCCCCTTGATAGTTAAGCRGCAAGTATTCTCATTACTTTCAGAAGAGCAGGAACCTGAATGATAAAACACCCTTATCTTAGCTATAGGTTGTGGGAACAAGTGGATCCCATTGAAATAGGCCTTTTTTTCTGTGTATGAGATTTTATTGTAATTTTTTATTACAACTAAAAGTGAGTTTTATCACTGACAAGTAGCTTGCAGTGCTTTGGGAAATAAGATTTCTCTAAGACATGAAAGGCATAAAAACAAGGATGAAGTGTAAAAAATGGAAATGCCAAAGTTGTTGAGAGAGATTGTAAGATACAGAAATTAAGGTCTTGATTTATTTATTCATTCTAGTGAATTTTGCTATCTGTTAAAGTGGTCTTAAGGGATACAGACTGAATTTCTGTGGACGCTTTAGATTATGCTACTAAAATGATTTAGAAATTCAGTTTAAAGTGGCATTTTTATACATAAAAGTAAAAATGGAAATCATACCTCTTGTTACTTTGCAGGATAAATGGTGATAGGTTGATTACCTTACATGTACTTGGCAGCATACATAAAAGCAGTCTTTGTAAAACTCAACRAATTCAGTTTTTCTTAATAGTAGTATTAAAAGCGATGTTGCGATTCTCATTTTTGCTCCCTTTTTTAATTTTTTAAGTTATAATAGGTGGAGGTGCTGATGTTACTGCTCAGATAAGTTTTTGTAGGACTAGTCCATGACTGCAGGTTGAAAATATTGGCCTTGAAGTATGAGCACATCTGCAAGCATGGGTTAAACCCGGGGGACCCACATTTTGTACCTTGTAAGGCATGTGCAGAGGCAGGTCGCCCTTATATTAGCAGCTGTTACATTTGTCCACAGTCTGGAGGTCCAGAACATTGGGAAATAAAGTAAATAGTGGAGAGAAAAGCCACAAGAGAGAGAGAACAAAATCCCTTTATAATAAAACTGTGGAAGAAAGCGTCCATGATTTATGCTGTAATTCAGGCAGAGCAAATGCAGCACAAATCACTATATAAATGAGTAAAAATTTCCACTATTTTTAGACACAATAGTCTTCAATCAGCTTCCAAAAAAAGTGTGATCGAATTTGTTATCAGTATTAATTCAAATGTAAAGTGCGTTTATAGATTCAGATGAATGTTTATTTATTTTCCTTTCAGAACCTAAGTAACTTGAAGCCAAGTGGAAACGTGTTCTTGTAAATAGTGATTTATTTGGAGCTTTCCTGCAGCCCTGACTGAGCACGGGGTGGTCAAGGACGTGGTGAATATGACGCAGTTTGGAGACATGCTAGTGAGGAGCGAGGGCTGGCCCAGAGCGCGGGGCCTTCTCCATCCTGTCCCCCCTGGAGCCCTCCAGACCTTGTGGTGTTTTAATAGCCCTTTGCCCCAGCCTGGGCCGAAGCCAGGTCGGTCACCAGGCCCTGGCGTTTCTGACAGCCCGTGTTGGGTTTTGCCTGCTCTCTCCCATCCTCTGGTTTTAGCCTGCGAGCTGCTCCTGGGAAAGGAGTATTAATAATGTGAAGATGTTCTAAAACGATTCTATTCTGGAAGAAAATAAAATATAAATGAAAGTGGATTGGGAAGAATTCATGCAGTGGGGCCATCTGCTTTGTCTGCACTTCCCGTGCTCCCTGTGTCCCATGTCCTGGGTCTTGTTTTGTCCCTTTCTGGGGGATGTTCAAATGCCGGGATGTGAAGGGGTGGGTAGGTGCATGAACRCGTTTGTGCTCTCACATACGTTGATCACAAATCTCGCACTGCTTCAGGAAGATTAAATCTGTGTTTTGACTCACTTGTTGAAAAATCACTGGTAGCCAGGGTATTTTATGAACTGCAGTGTGTATCTTCTTACAATCCCCATTGCAACTGGGGCTTTCCAAATCCGGCGCAAAGCAAATTTTCACTTCCAAGAACTTTAGGGCCTGTTTTTAACAGTTCTTAGCTGCGTCTCCTGTCACCTTCCCATTAGAAAACGTGGCAGATTTCCTGATCTAATCACAGTGTGGCAGTGGCTGGTGGGCTGCTGGTTTGCTCRGCCATGACATTGCTTATTTGCTTTCTCACGCTGGATTGCGGGCATTTACTTTCATTACAGCCTGTGAAGTTGCAGTAAAATGAAATCKCTTGTCAAGTGTGATTGAATGTGCAGAGAGAGAACTGTCCAAAAACAAAAAGGATAAAGCATTGATTTTTTTCTCTTTTAATACTGTTTTCTATTCTCTAGAAAAAAATAAGAAAAAGGTGAGTTTTGTCAAGGTAATGACTATGCTATGGGATAGCAAATGCAGTTCTTGGTGCAGGGCTCACACGGCTCTACAATTAATATCACTGGTAACTGTGTTCTTCAGCATCTCTGCCAAGCAGTATCTGTTATTAAATAAGATGCCATACTGCTATTTTACCTTAGCRAGCTCTTGAAATGACATGTCTGTACTACAGTGTGCTGTCCCTGCCTTGAGCGGATAGTCAGTATTTGGAGGTACTTGGGAGTGCTGAATTATGTAAGTTACATCAGTATTTGATAAATGTTACCCCTAYCAAGTGGTTTAGATGGGATTTTCTTTTGCAAATGGCAGTTTTGCCCATAATTCATTCCTAGCCCAGACACAACACGCAGAAATAGTGACTTCCATTTATCATCAAARGAAATGTCACTTTTGAAGAGTTTATTGGGCTGTTTAGTATCAATCTAGGCCTCAGATCTCCTACAGCAACTTTACTTGTGACATAACAGCAGATAGATTATTTTGGATGTTTACATAGATATCCACAAATAAATTGGTTTTATATATTAATGAACTTKTTTTTTTTWTWTTTTTTTTTGGAAAAAAAGAACATTGAAATAGAAACTGTTTATTCTATGTCCTGTGCTTAATAAGTATTGAGCTCTTTAAACTACAGCATCATTAACAAACATGTGCCCTGTTAATGGTGGACATATTTTGATCCAATACCTTCTTTAATATTATTACTACTTTATTGCACTTAATGAATTGGACTGACTCCTGAAATCATCTGAGATTTGGGCCTATGGTGCTTATAGGCAGAGGAAATTAGTATATTGTGAATTGGAGAGGAAAGGGAGCAATAAATAGGTAGCMGTTAAGGTGTGAATATAAATCAGACAAGAAAATTGGAGCTAACATTTATCATGTGTATTTATGATATTAAGTGAAATTCCATCATGACAGATTTCAGTGCATTTCTGCATGATAAATGAACCTTTAAGAGAGAAAACTGTGGATAAACTTAGTATATTGAGGAACAGTTTAAGAGAGTTCTTTCTTGAGAGAAAAAAAAGGAGGCAATGCATTAGGAATTATGAGGATATTTGTGCAAAAAAAGTGACAAGTAGGAAATCAAAACTCGCCTTATCGGTAGAAGGAAGATGTTTTTATAGAACAAATGCAGACAAGATCATGGAAGAGTTTATTTGTGGGTATATTCTCTGCAATTTGTAGTTATTAGTTGGGTTATTTGTGCAATGTGTGGGCATAGACACTATAGATTTGGAACCTTAGCCTATAAATTCAACTGTTTTCTGTAAATCTCAGGGTATTTTATGTGTTCAAGTGATCCAGGCTGCTCTGGCTATTTCAAAAAAACAAAACAAAACAAACAAAAAAAAAAACCTGAAGAATCGTAGTTTAATTTTTGGTAACTGCATTTCTTCTGCCTGTAATTGAAGAACCTTTTATTGGGTGCTTGCCTTCCCTCTACACATCCTTGCTAGGTTTTGATTAACCTGTTATTAGGTTTTAGCTAAATAAAGCAAACACGTTGCTCCTGAATGCTTTGGAATTTGTTGATTCCCCACAAATGCAAAGCTATTTCAATTTTCTTTTATTTTTCTGATTGTCTAATATTGCTAATGTGTATCAGTAGTATTGTAAAGGTTTGTTTTTTCTGCAGTTTACACAGATGTGAAGATCAGGTACTAATCCCATATTTTCCCTTTTATGGGATGCACTAATAACTACAATTTAGGTTATTGTTATGAGTAGAGACCACATATTTGAAAACTTTGTGGGTGGTCTGGAACAGCAATTTTCAGTAATTCTTTAAAACAAATATTTCTACAATTTCTGCTTTCTTCAAACTGTAGTCATTTACGTTTTACATACATCTGATCTTTTTTCTCATTTGTTCACAAAATGAAGTTATTGAAACATATATAAATCTTAAGAAAAAACAGATATGTAGTGCAATCCCACAGATCGTCTTCCCTGTGTCAAGCAGGTTATTTTTATTGTTAATTTAATTAGTATTGCTAGTTTTCCTCAGTGTATGGATTACAATGTTCATTTCATCTAATGCAGGAGGCATTAAAAGACAACAACAAAAAAAGAGAACTAGAGGAGAAAACTAAGAGAGCCAAGCTGGCAAAAGAGAAGGCTGAACGAGAGAAACTGGAGCGGCAGAAGAAGAAGCAGCAGTTGATTGATATGAACAGAGGTAAGGCATCGTTTTTAATAGAGAGATTTGTTAGAAGAAAACACAAAAGTGGGGAATAACAGACCAAAGACTGTTCAAAATAAATACCAAAAATACGTATTATTTTGAAATCAGAAAAAAAAATGTTTTAGGTGATTCTCTTTTGTTTTAGCCTACCTGATCATGTAATTCTGCATCTGTCACCTAATATGTCTAATGCTCCCTTCAAGGCATTTCGCTGTGAATTATTGACTTGTTTTCATTTGTTGTAGTTAATTGTTTTAGAGGTTTTTTTGTTTGTTTTTTAATATGGATTTACTTCCAGTATTTTACTTGTTTCGTTGTTAATTCCGTTTTGTAAACATCTTTATAATCAAGATAGTGTGGCAATTAACTTTTTTGTTTTTGAGCTCGAAGGTTTCATATTATAATAGATATTGTCCCCAAAGTGCTATTACAAGCTGGAAAATCTGGTTCAGCTCAGCACCTAGGTAGAAAGTGACATTTCAGCATGATTGGAAAAAAAAAAAAAAAAAAAAGAGCCATATTGTGCATGAGGACACTCAAATAAAAGTAGTCAAGTCAGAGGAATAAGGTGATCCCTAATATCAATGTTTTGTAGATGTTGCAAAATATATGCCATATTTTTCATTTATTGGACTTTATAAGTCAATGAAAAGCAAACTGTAAGTCAAATCACACAAGAGATGACTTTAGGCTGCATTTTGGTTTTGTTTCCATTAATTCAGAAAGTTGTTCTTTTTGTCCATTGAGCAATTGGACAGATACACTCATGAAAAAATACCTTTTTTATGTTGAACTTCACAGAAGATATGGTGACATATTAACTTTGTGTCAGGATGATATTGCACTAAACTGTGTAGTTGTGATAAACTGACATAGTGCTATACTGGAGGTGGACAAAAAYATGAAATAAGTTTTGAAATAGTGCTTCCTTTCAACAGTGTATGTGCAGATGTGCAGTATCTGTAGCAGATGTCAATCTGTAAAAGGATGAAAAGCACCAGAGAAATACTAGGCCAGGCAGATTCTCTGTTCAGATTCTCAATGATTGATAGTGCAGCAGTGCAGAACTATGGGCACCCACAACTTGTGATATTATTTTTGGTGTTGCATACATAGAATGCKGATGTTTCCATCACATTAGCACATCTCCCATCACTAGTGCAGCTCTTGTGTGTTGGCAGGCAGCTCTTGAGAGATGTTGAGCAGTCAGTCAACCTCCCTTTGCTGTGTGGCAGCCCAGATYGTCTATGATCTGTATTCCTGGCAGGCTTCACCTCCACTCTCTGCTTTGAGCAAAGGTGTYCATGAAGTGGCCTCTACAGAGAGCTATAGTGGAAACCCATAGATCTTATGGAAGCACTTCAGAAAACTATTTCTTCAACTATTTGCTTCATCCCTATGTTCTGTAAAGGGAAAAGAGAATTGAAAGAATGGGTGCTCTCTATTTATTTATTTATCTTTTCATTTTTTTTGCCTTTTTTTTAAGGGGCTTATGTGCTTTTCTGTGCATTACAACAGAAAGTACATAAGACTCAAGATACTCGACATAATCTTACATTCTCTCGAAAATGAGTAGCTGACACACATTCTGTGCTGCCCTTGGAAACCTCTTCCATGAATAGGGCAGGTATTTGAACCTGTTCTTTTTTATTATTTCTAACTAGACTCCTATACTGGTAGAAGTCTCAGCCTGTGCAGTTATGCTACTATACCTGCTAAAGGTATCCTCTGCATAAACAAATAGTTATCAGACTGAGTTATGTTTATAATCATTTACCTGCTTGTTGCTCTTTTTATCTATATATATATACAAATGTCTTCACTTTTTGCTGAGGCATTTCACAAATTTGCTAAGAATGAGAAGCCATCTGAAAGTTTTGCGTACTCAGTGATCATCCTTATATGAACTACTACTACTTAGATTTCAAGAAATCAGAAAATACTCTCTTGTATGAGAGATGGTGATAAGCTTTTTTTCTCAAAACCTTAATTCCTCACATTCTGAATTTTTAAAATGACTTGCATTAGTCTAACTTCGATACAATGATAGACAACAAACTATTTTTGTAGAAGTCTTGTAAAAATTCTGCTGTTTGTGCATTTGATTTTGTCACAGAGCCTCAGAGCTTTGCTATTCAATTTATTGTTTTCTGTTTTTTCTTAAGGMGACTTTTGTAGGGATAGTTTTGAGGTTACCTACAGTGGTGCCATGGATTCTGTTATTTTTGGCTGTACTTGAAGTGACAGTGGTACTGCATGAAAATAGCAGAAGTTTCACAAGCTCATCTGGCTTGGGGTAGATGTCAAACTTGAATGTTTGACATCTATTATAATCTAATATAATCCAACCTATTATAAAGATTTTGTAAATCAGTTTCCATTTAAATATAAACAAAATATAATTACCTATTTAGAAAAGATTCATAAATGTATGGCTTGCATATTTGTAAATATTATGAAGTTCTCGAATGCAGCTTCCTGTATATCACTAGTCTCAGCATTTGGCTAATTTTTTCTTTCATGTCGGTCACCTGCTAGTTCTGAGAGGCTTTGCGTAATGTACAGGCACTTTCCTTTCCCCACTCACAGTGGGGTGAAAAGAGCCTAAGTGTCCCTCCATCACCCTCCTCCTCACCAAGTGTTTGAAGGCTACGGAGAGAGGTTAATTTAAACTCTCACTGAGGGCAGTGTAAGCCAACATGTTTTACTAGCTGTTGCAAAGGATGAGAAGCCCACCTGGAGCTAAGGCTGTAAGTTAATTGATCTGTCCTCGAGGCTGTTAGGTTAAGTTTATACCTCTTCAAATGTCTTCAGCTCAGTCGGTGAGAGCACATCTGTCTTCATCTTTGCGTTTTTAGCAGCTGAGGAGAATACTGTRCCTGAAAGTATTGCAGACACCTCAGTATGCGGATGGTGTGCTTGCTTTTCATCAGGAATTTTTCTTTGGCCCTTCAACAGATGCAACAGAAGCTTAATTTTGTGATCTGGTTCTTGGTCTGGCAGCGCAACTATAGACATGAGAATGACTGTACGTTACCAAATGCACTGAAACTCTTATTAAAGTAATTAATGTTTCTAAATCAGTGACACAAAATCAATCTAATACTTCTAAAATAGTTTTCCCCATCTTTRAATGGCTATATATGGAAATATACGTTTCACAAATTACAACTGTATTGCCGTTGCAGACGGGTGGTGCAAGGGGTGGATCCATCCCCACAGGATCCTAGGGCACCGATATTAAATTTACATATTTTTCGTTTTTTTCCTCAAAGTACCCACTTCTGCATGCTTATTGCTGCTTATAAAAATAGTTGACAAATTTCTCTAAGCTAATATGACACCAAAGACTTGGAAGAAGCAGAAGCAGACAGATGTCCTCTTAAGCTGTCATTTCGACAAGGTTATTTTCACCCAAAGGGTATTTCTAACCTAACTTTGTTTTGGTTATTTCTCTAGCTGTGTCTTCAAGAATAAAATCTTAATGTATGGCCTTTTGAATCAAAGCAATAGGATTTTTTTTTTCCCCTTACACCCTTTGATGGCTTAATTTTATGGAAAGCAGTATTTTTTTTTYYTTTTTTCTTTCTGTTTCCAGGTTATGCAGCTGCAGTATCTTTTGTGGTCACTGGAAAGATCCAGATTAGAATTAATTGCATTCTGTTTCTTGGCATAACTGGGAGATGAGAACTCCAGTGTGGCCAGAGATCAGAAAATACTTTGTGCAATTCCTGGTTAGAGAAATACCTTAGAAATACCTCACGGGTATTTTAAAGACCAGGTCATGGTATTTGCTCTTTTTTGTTTTGTAGAGTGCCTGCCCCCTTTGAAATACCATTTAAATATGATTGATGTCAACAAAAAMCACAAAAATATTGGTATCTATATAAGAAAAACAGAATCAATCTGTTTTTGACAGGTGAAAAGACCAGCACTTACCTTCCAGAAGAAATGCTTAGAACAGGAACTCTAAATCCAACATGTACACTCCTTTTCACCTCATGAAAGCCTGTAGTTACATAATCATCCATTATTTCTTTTATAAATAAGCATGTTAATGAATATGGAAAGGTTAACACATTCCCAGATAATCAAATGTAAACGCTCAATGAGATTTAAATCTTTTGAGGTTTATTCTGAACTCAGTTCTGTTGAAAGTTACTTCTTTAGTACAATTTAATTAACTTATTTTCATTAGAGATACAGGCATAGATACACATGAGCTGCTTCTAGATGGAAAGGAATCTAGAACAATGTAATAGTATCTGTATAAGATTCAGCATTTGAAGACTTTCTTAAGAAATAACAATTCAAAAAATTTTCAAAACTGTTAGAATTGTTGAATTTGAGTAAGAATTAAATTTCACTATTGCCATGAAATTCTATTTTTATTTCTATTCATTTTTCAAGATTAAACTGTTTTCTGTTTGCTTTTAAACTAAGACTTAAACTAGATTTTAAACTGCAGATGGTAACAATTTATAGTGGGACCTGCTGTTTCATACTAACACCTCTTCTTTTTTAAGTCCTAATTAGCGATAGCTTTCCCTTTATGTAGTAACTGACTGTCTAACACTTTGATTTAGGAATCTGTGGTGCAGTCAAAGGCAGAGCCAGCCCTGCTGGCAGCTGTTTTGCTCAGCTCCTTGCAGTCAGTATTGCTGTGGCCCTTCAACTCCTCCTCCTCCTCCTCAGCTGCAGCTGGAGACCTTAGCACTATCTGTGCCTTTCTCTCCCTCTGGTGATTTAAGCATCTGCTTATTATATCTCCTGGACTAGACCTGCTTTGCTAGTGAGGTATGGAAGCACAACAGGCCCTAAGCGACTTGCAGAAATCCTAAATTTCATTCAAAAACATAAGCCATTCTTTTTTGTTGCAGGATATAAATTCTGCCTGCTTTGTGTTTTGTTCTTAAAAAAAAAAAAAAAAAAAAAAAAAAAAAAAAAAAAAAAAAAAGCATCATCTTTCCTTTACCCCTCCCTAGTTTTGTGGA